GCGCCAACCAAATAGTGACATTCATTGTGACAGTTACTAATGTTTAATAGCGATGTAAACAAATAAGAATAATTTAAAATCTATGCAAAAATCTATAATGTAAGGCCATTACCTTGTCGGCTAACGGTTTCGATTATTCTTCATTCCATATTTGTAGTGTACAGCTACATATGGACTGCAACAGTTAATCGTTAATTTTGAAATGACCGACCGGTCGTTTAAGTTACACCATTTATATGTAGTAATAAGATTTTAAGTTACCACTAATCTTTTACATTTCTTGTTGCAATAAACTCCATTTAGGATTCCGTATAGTCCAAAGAAACTCTTATTAGTTTCGTCATTACCGTCTGTCTGTCCATCCGTCCGCGGTTTAGCTAAAAACTATTGGTAGGTACTAAAGTTCTAATTTGGCATGAGTATGAGGGAGAGATATTTCTTTTTTTGTCTTCCGCATAGTGTGGGCTATACTTGGATAGATCTTTTAAATATTGGGTGGGAAGATCGCTTTTAAATTTAGTTGATCGTTCGTGACTATTATGCTTTGTAGTGCCAAATTTCGTGAGGGTCACGTTAAATGTGAGTGAGATACTAGATCAGGATGAATATCAACCCAATTCATGAATTACTACAAGTGATTTGACAATTAATACAAACAGTGTTGTAGAAGGCACTTTAGATATCGTAAACATGCCGATAGAAATAGAGGACGTCGATTACATAATCGATAAAGTTTTGACCGACATAAATAATTATTTTAATTAATTTTGCATTCACAATGCCATATGGCACCTGGGTGCCAGGGACCAAGTGGATTTTTTAAGCATTTTGTATTAAGAACAACATAAATAAGTTGACACCAAATAAAAAAGATACAGATCAACCAAATTTTATTAAACTTCGACTTTTCAAACAAGTCTATTCATTGTCATGGTACACTGATGGTGATATGACAGCACACCACGAGAAAAACCAAAAAACACAGAGCAAGATTAGTTTTCCAGGACTTAGCTCATCGAGGTGATATTCAAAACGATTAAAAATTATCAAAGAATACTGATGTTATTAATGAAGAACAAAACAAAAAAAAGAAGTGAAAAAAAAAGGATATCTACCTACTTAATTACTTTAATTAAAAACTAAATAGAAAAAATAAGCCCACTAGTTTGGAATGCTATTCCTTTGTGACCAGTCAACGAAGCCCCTTATAATTTGAATGGGTCCCGACTGTATAGATCCTTCTAGTCTACTTTTGAATTTATGATGTTTTATGTGTGTACCGATTTTTTCATTTCAATGGAGCAGTTATTCAGTAGTGCTAATTGTAAATAACATTCCAAACTGCTGGGCTTGTTTTTTCTTTTTAGTGAAAGTAATTATATCTTTTTTCACTTCTTTCTTTTGTTTTCACGCAGTCGGGATTTTTGTTTTTTATAATTAAAATTTTATTTTACACTTTTTAGTAAGTTCTCATTGGCTTCGTTATTAGAACTATAAGACGGTAAATTTCGCAACCTTGTCATTTTATTGCGGGAGTTTATATCGCGAGTGGTCTAAACTACTAATTATTAGTCCCACTAGAGACCTCACTCGGCTCAAAGGTACATATGCTTGACCTTTAGCAAATATTAACCAACTTAAGTCAACCAAAGCTCGGTCCAAGTACTTCTCGACACTTAAAAACATAATAATTTGCGAACGGCTCACTATATCTAAAACGGTCTACGCACCAAAAAACACAGAGCACACTTCTAAAGTTTTTGAAAGACTTATCCAACAATATCCCACACTACAGATAAATCGAAAAAATAAAAAAAATCATCCCCACTTTACATGTAGGGGTGCCTCCCCTAAAAATAATTTTGATTACTGTTATGTGTATAGTGACACTGGCGAGGTTAAGACAAATCGATTGACATATAAATCATCAAAATTGGCCATGCCGTATGGTTTTTACAATGCCATATAAGAACAAACATACATATATAAGACTCATAAACACATTACCCTCCTTTGCGTTGCGCAGTCGGGTAAAAAAATGCATAACGGTGCCATGGAAAGTTGCGAACCTGAACCAGGATGTTGTACACAAATAGATGCTAAAATTGATAAATTATTGAGACTTCCAGAAAACAAAAAAAACTGCAAAGCGTAAGCGGTCTAAGTCTCCAGCTAAGGAGCAGCTTTTTGGAAGTTACAGCTAAGGAGCTGTAACTTCTAAAAAGTTTAAATAATACTTAGAAAATGGAAGAAAACGGAAAAGACAAAAAAAAAGAAAGGTATATTGAACAAATTGATATGGAAAAATTATGAAGAAATTTCCCATAATCGACTATGGTGATGTGTGTTACCTCGACCCAAATGCAGATCCACTAAATAAACTTGATTGTGTTCTAAATAACTGCATTCGATTCGTTTTTAGGGTTCCGTAGTAAACAAGGAAAACTTATAGTTTTGCCATGTTCGTCTTTGGTACCATGTATTGGTAGCTGGGAGTAGCTCGGTGGCGTAGTGGATAAGCGCCACGGCCCGCGATCGTAGTCGTTAGGCAACTTTCGCATGGGTCGGTCACGGGATGGGTGACCAAAAAATTATTATCTCGAGCTACTCCGTGCTTCGGAAGGCACGTTAAGCCGTTGATCCCGGTTGCATCTGCAGTCGTTAATACCCTCTAATTGGCCAGCGTGGATGGTCGTTGCCCATCCTCCTTAACCATCCGTAAGGAAGTCCTGAGCCCCAGCAATGGGGACGTAAAAGGGTTGATAATGATGACGATGATGAGGGTATCTCCCTTACAAGTAAGGTGGGGATGATACATTTTTCAACCAAACCGTCGATGGTAAAAATTCAAACGTTATGGCAGTAGTACCTATACCTATATAACGAAGTTAAAAGAAAAACTGTCACATTTACGATGACTTTAGAATTTGAATTTTATGAGTAATAGTCGACCAATTGTATTCAACTCGAAAATTACAGACAACTCTATAAAACAAAAACAGCAAACGTGTTTTTTTTACTTTTTATAATGAATAACGGAATCCCTCGTGGCCGTGTCCGACTCGCACTTGGCTTGCTTAGAAAATACGATCATTGCCCGCATATGGTTCATACTTAAAATGGATGCCCATCCGTCTACTCTGTCGTCTCTGAAATCGTTCACTTTTCATTCTTCGTCAAATCTATTCTTTGTGGAAGGTACTCCCATTAGAGATAATATTATATATAAGCTTTTAAAAACAAGTTACGTATCTTTACGTTGGAACAAGCAGTTTTATTGAAACTTCACTTAAATGGGTTCAGTCGTTTCTGAGATTATCGTGTTCACAAACGCACAGACAAACAGACAAAACTTTAAAAATCATTGTTTAGTGTTCTATTATGTTATTAATGCCCCTCGTAATAGGATTTTTTTTTTCATGTATCTTCAATACGAACATCGATCAGTTCGGTTTTAATTGAAAATATTTTTATTATAAACTAGCTGACCCGACAGACTTCGTCCTGTCAAAAAGCCTACATTGCTTAGACAACAGTGAGTGCTTGTAATTTAATATGAACTTTATACCATAGCAATAAAGCTCAAATTGACTACGTTTTAGTTACAAATCATTTGTATGGGAAAAAGAAAAGGGCTATTTTTAGGGTTTTTCCAGCAATAATTCTAATTTTTCTCGCCGTAAAAACCATCCTTGAACTTCAACGAACATTTTAAAAAAAGATTTGGCCAAATTGGTCGAGGCGTTGTTGAGTTATGCGCTTACCAACACATTTTGCGATTCATTTTTATATATAAGAAGATTTTGTTTTCGCAATTTTTTCCTTACCTGTACTATAAGACGTCACTTGTACAAAATTTCAACAAAGTGATCCTACAAGAGTTCCGTTTTTTCCTTTCGAGGTGTGAAATCCGCTCTTAAACCCGCACTGCTTATGCGTATTGACATTTTCTGTAAAATGTTGGTAAATTTTGATCAGGTTAGGTTCACGTGCTCGAGCCAGCGGAAGTCGCGTTTTTTTATTAAAACAAAATGTACACAACGTTAAAAAATTTCTCAGAAAGGCAAATGCATAATGAAACATTAGTTGTATATTTTATTCAGTCCGTTATTTATTTGATGTCATTACTTACATCAGCCGTGACCGACGGTTAACGGTGCCTTCTGGAGCAGGCTCCTCCCACTGACATGACACCTATACTATTGACACTTACCAATATCACATAATATAACCTGAGCATCGCAGATCTGCGTCGTCGAGCCACTCTCGATCCACCGATTTATGAGATAACAATTTTCAAAAGGCTTTAGGTTTGTCAAGCTATTTTTATCGCAAAATTTCCAGTTACACAATAAAAACGATTTAAGGAAACGAATCTAAGGTCACCGAATGATTTACTAGAACAATGAGAAGTCGCCCCACCAGATGCGAGTGCTCGCACGAGGTACATCCAAAATTTCAACATTTATTTATTCAGTTTAGGCTTTTACAGAGCAATTGTGAAAGTCGAAAATATATAAAAATTCCGGTATGTCACGTGAAGTTCTTGCTCGTGTTCTGCATCATATTACATTTTACTCCATGTTCTACACACCTATACAATTTTTAGGCCAGCGGTCTGTTTTATTCGTAATTTTAAATTATTCTGTCGTAAATATGTAACTTAATCTTCGTACTATTCCAGTCGGCCATCAGTATGAAACGTTACAATACATTTTCTGTGTTCTTTCAGATCTCTTTTACATTATTAAATATAGTCTCACTATAAACGATCCGAACGAGGACGATAAGCGATAGCGTACTCATTCGGATCGATTATTTCGAACTCCACCACCCGGCCTCGTGGACGCCGAAAGCTACTGCATCGGTTCGCAAGACCTTCGTGAGTAGGTAAACGAAGCGCGTCGAAGAGATCACAACTATCGTCGCAGGAAGGAGTATCGCTACCCCGGGTCTCCGGCGCAGAACGACCGGATATTCGTATAAATAATATACATCTTCTGTTGCACAATATAACAATTTATTTACACAAGAACAGGACTCTTATCCTCCTATCGTGCGGCTCCCGCAGTATTACGTTTTTTCCGGAGCAGGGCATCGACCGCGTCGCCGGGGGTGAACAAACAGAACGGAGTCAATCTCCACCCACAGGAGCGCGCAGGACCGCCATCGGAGCGCAGGTCATGTGTTGCAAGAAATAATCGTCCTTTACACGATAATTAAATAAATAAATCGAAACTAGCTCAGTTTGTTAATTCGTTGAAGAGGACGAGACCGCTGCACTTTGTTTACGGCACGTTTTGTCTCGGCGGTGTGGCGGAGCGGCGGAGTGGCGACTGGCGGAGTGGCGACTGGCGGAGCGGCGACTGGCGGAGTGGCGGATGGCGGAGCGGCGCGCCTGAGTGCGCGGTAGGCGTGCACGGCCTCGAGGCGCGCGCGCTCGCGCTCGGCCGCCTGCAGCGCGCCGGCGCCGCTCAGCAGCAGGCCGCGCCAGCCCGCCTGCGAGTGCCGCCCACAGGTGGTTACCACAGAACACGGAAAAGAGGTTAGAAAGGCGATCATGCATCCTTTGTACGAAAACCGATGTAGCCAGTCTTGCCCCACTTTTAGTCCGCCGTACATCAGACGAATAATCAGACCAATTATACAAAAGATATGCACACACTTGTATTTTAAACATGCCAATCAGAACGCTCCAATATAACTATAACCAATCACGCTCAACCATAACAGACATCTATAGTGCGCAATTTGACATATCACACTAGTGATTGACATAAAGTTATTTACTATCGATATTGAAAAACAACAAGTCGATTAATTGAAAGGATACTAGATTAATGATTTCTTTATATTATATTGGATATACATTGAATTGTATTGATTAAATGAGACATTATCTTTTTCTTTAGATATAAATTCTTAATTAGTTGGTTGATTCAATAAGAAATATTTAAATTACTAATGAACTAACATTGTATCGGTACTAGTCGAGCTTAAATATATGCATATAAATAACATAATAGTAAGTTTTTTTTTTACGTTACGTTACTTGATTTCGTATCAAGTAAACAGATAAGATCGGCAACATCGCTTAAATGAAACTAGTAATATTGACAAACAATATAATGTAAATAAATATATACAAAATAAAAAAATACTATCAGTACAATAAATGCTATTGGAACTTATCCTGAACAGACTCCGATGATTTAAAAAGTATTGTTGTTAATGGTTCAAAAAAAAAACTAGTTTTCTGTTACAATATTAAGAATATAAAAACAGACTTATTACCACACTCATTATTAAATTAATATACAAACTCATTCCAAGCGAAGTCAATATGGTTAATCTCTGATTAAATTTATTTTTTATTACCACTATTTTTATTGTCCATACTTTTATTTAGTTTTTACTACCTAACATACCAAGAATCGATTAAATGTTTTCCAGGCACTTCACTACCCATCTACCGTAATCTATTATGTTGCTATTTAAAAGGGTAATTTCTCGACATTCATTACATTACGTGCTTAGTACGACGCAATGTAATAAATATGCGCACTTCTCCAGCAATGTATATTCTCTTGGAAATATTTTTTGTGATTCACACTTTTGATAACATTTCACGATTTTCGACTAAAAATACTAAATTTGAGAAGTGTTCTACTTAATAATGGAAAGAAATCCTTCCTTTAGACCTACTTGAGGATGGGCTTCTTGTTTTGCAATTAATAACTGCGAAAGTCGGCATTTTTAACACATTTAGTGGCGTGTTTCACAGTACTTACAACGCGCGCGTTCGTGAATGACTAAACATCGCGATCGCGTGGTGATGTCATGATCCTGTACATTTGTCTAGGATCGTGGCTGCACTGCCACGCCCACAAGGCCCTTCTAACGTCTTTCTGTGTTCTGTGGGTGGTTACAATTAAACGCACTTAGCGCTCGACGCCGCTAACTATGTACACGTTAAGGCGTTAACGATCTAGCGTGCTACCGCGCAACGATCATCGGCGCCCGCTACCGAGCGGGCACTGATCGCGTGGGCGCGATCGGTCGCTCCCGCGTGAAAGATTTAGTCTTGTAGCACGTTTAATACTGTTCCGAAGCGCAGGAGCGCGATGTATCATCCGATCGTTTCGCTACATTAACTACGCGTGCCATATAGGTAGAATCGGAAGAAAGGGAAGAAAAGGCACCGGCGGCCGTTCTAGAACTTCCGGTGACGCCTCGAATATACCGGGGGGGCCCGAGGCCGACCTAGAATGTTCGAGGTCCTTACCTAAATCTTTCTAGATGTAGTATCGGTCCCTGTAAATACGCGGTCGACTCCCCGTCCCGGCATTCTTTTAGTGGCAGTTGAACTGGAAACGAGAGCGAATACGGGCGAAATCGGAAACGAAAACTAGTGAAGTGAACTATCGGGACGATCGAGTAGTGTTGTGAAGTGGCCGCGTGCCGAGCGCGATGCGTCGATCCGTTCGAGCTTTCCGTTCGATGACGAATACGATGTAAAAAAAAAATAGACGACGGGCGACGAACGATCATAATCATATCGTCCGCGGTGTTAAAAAGATTGGCTCCTCGACGATTCCGACGATGACTCGTGAATTATATCGGAAGCGTGTACTAGTATATGAACGGTACTCGTTTAATATTTTTCGGTCAGGCTCGGGCTCCCCGAGACTGGCGAGTCGGTAACAGTTTACTAGAATGCTTATTTCATCTCCTTATGGATGATCGAGACGATATTTTACGAAACTATCTACATATACTAAACTAAATTTTTCTAAGGCCATGCTTATATTTGCCAAACAAAAATCATTTAAACATACGGTCGATCGTTTGCAAAAAACAGAAACATACATTTCGATAGTCGACTCGACAGAAAAAAAATCGCAAAGGTGACACTATAACGTTTTTGGCATCGATTTTCCGACCAATATATGTCATCTTAACTGTATGGAAAATATATACAAAAACAGATTTCGATCTAATCTAAAATGATCAAAAGTGTATGATATCAAGGAGTGCGTCTTTACGCTGTATGCGTATTCATATGGGAACGTAAACGGAGGTACAAGAGAACGTGTTACCGCGGGCGCCTGCGCAGCGGCGCCGCCACGGCGCGACCGCAACGCGGGCAGCGCGGGCGGCGCGTGCGCCACCTCCCCGAACCCGACGCGCTCGTACTGCACCTCCCGCACCTCCCGCGCCTCCACCTCCTGGATGACCACCACCACCACATACATGAGTCTCGCATCACTCGACCACTCCATCTTTAAACGTATACTATATTTCTAGGGCAGGAAAAAAACTATATACAGGACAGCCCTCGTAGAAACGGTCCTGAGTTCTCCGGATGTATCGTTAGCTTTCGACGCCCGCATGATACTTTGGGTCGTAATCGATTTATTTGTCAATCCTGTTGTAGGTCCATGACGATGCGGATAGATTATTCAGACCTGAGTTTGTTTCAGTTTCTTGGCCTTCTTCTTGAGCGTGAGTCGCTGTCCTCGCGTCAGTTTGGTCGCATCGGCCTCCTGCGCCTGCGGCTCCTTGTTGCGTCGCCGCTTGCGCTCGCGTCGCCGCCGCTGCTCCGCCATGCGCTCGCCCTTCACGTCATCATGCTCGTTGTCCACCTGTGTTGTACTTCGATCAGTTTTACCCTTTTTTAATTTCTTTGTTTGTTATATATTAAGAATTAACCGAATACAGCTATGTGTCAGAGCCGACACGCCATGAGAATTGGTTTTGTTTCTGTTTCATAAAAGTCGACTATACTGACTATAGACTTGACAAATGTGTCATCATCATCATCATCAGCCCTTTTACGTCCCCACTGCAGGGGCTCAGGCCTTCCTTATGGATGGTTAAGGAGGATGGGCCATGACCCTCCAATCAATCAATCAATCAATCAATCATTTATTGCATAAAATATGGTGTAACAGATGTCATAAAATAAGTGTATCACATATTTACTGTTTGACAGTGTGCAATAGTTTTAGTAGTTATATAAATTTACATTTTAATCTATTCATGCATTAACTATGATATTATTTTATTCGCACATCATTCACTTAAAAAACATTTCATTTAGTTCCTATTACATATTATTTCAGTCTTATAGTTTAAAATTAAGTAATAGTAATAATGTCAAAATTCGAATCAATTTATATGTTACAAAACTAATAAGTCAAGTAAGCTTAATACATAAATCCATGTCAATTACAAAATAATTTTATCATACACATTATAAAATATGTCATTGTATATAATTTATTTATAATGTCGTTGTATATAATAATTTATTTATTTATAAGCGAATTTTACTCTACTAAAATTGCTTGCATTCCAAATATTCCTGTATCGAGTAAAATGATTTGTTCAGAAGCCACTCCGTCAAAGCTTTTTTAAAAATGTTTCTGTTAATCGGTAAGTCTACTAGTTTCGATGGAAGCTTGTTGAATATATTTATAGCCATATAATATACATTTTGTTTGAATAATGTCAAATTACATTTCGGAATAACAATTTTATTTTGTCTCGAACTTCGTGGGTCTTTTTTTATCTCTCTGACTTTAGTAAAATATTGTGGATTTTTTTTTACAAATAAACACAGTTCACAAATATAAATGCAAGGCAAAGGTAATATTTTTAATTCTTTAAACATAGGCTTACAGGAGTCACGTCTTTTTATACCACATATTGCTCGTATGCATTTTTTTTGAGCTATAAATAGTCTTTTCATATCCACGCTATTACCCCATATTATTACAGCATAACGTAGCAAGGACGACACGTATCCATGATATGCTTGTAAGGCTATATTTTTAGAAGCGACTATTCTGACTCTATAAAGTGCAAAAACGAATTTATCTATTTTTGTAGCTAAACTATCAATGTGATTTTTCCAGTGTAAATGTTCATCCAGAGTTATGCCTAAAAACCGCGCTGTACTTACTACGTCAATATTGGAATTTTTATAATGTATATTAAAGTTTATTCTTTTAGATTTAGCTGTATGAAATTGTATTATGTTAGTTTTTGATATGTTAATTTTTAAATTGTTTTTGTTTAGCCATTCTATTACATTGGAAATTGTGTTATTAATTTTGTTTTCTAGTTGGTCAATATTTTTATTTTGAAACAGTAGTGTACAGTCATCAGCAAATAAGAAACAGTCATTTGTGGTTATATCAGGGAGGTCATTGATGTATAGTAAGAAGAGTAAAGGTCCTAAGATGCTGCCCTGTGGTACACCATTTTTTATATTTCGATAATTTGAACGAATGGTTTCTTTGATATTACTTTCCATTCTTATTATTTCTGTACACTGTTGTCTATTTCTCAAATAACTTTCGAACCATTTGTACGCTGAGCCTCTCATGCCATAGTCAAAAAGTTTTTTCATTAATATGTCATGATTCACACTATCAAAAGCCTTTGACATATCAAGAAATACTGCCACTACAGGGACTCTATTATTTAAAGATTCAATTACTTTTTTTAACAATTCAAAACAAGCTTGTGTAGTAGACTTTCCTTCCTGAAATCCGAATTGATTATTATTGATTACACTATGTTTATTAATGAATGATTTTAACCTTTCAGCCATTACTTTCTCAAATATTTTTGAAAATACTGGTATGAGTGTAATAGGTCTATAGTTTCCTATATCACTAGTGTCTCCCTTTTTGAATAATGGTTTTATTACTGAAAATTTCAGTCTATCCGGAAATGTACCACTTTCTAATGAAGCATTTATTATATGTGATAAAGGAGATTTAATACTTTTGGAGCTGGCCCAATGCGGATTGGAGGGTATTAACGACTGCAAATGCAGCCGGGACCAACGGCTTAACGTGCCTTCCGAAGCACGGAGTAGCTCGAGATAGTAATTTTTTGGTCACCCATCCCGTGACTGACCCTAACGAAAGTTGCTTAACGACTACGATCGCGGGCCGCGGCGCTTATCCACTACGCCACCGAGCTACTCTTGACAAATGTGTGCCTTCATATTAATATTGATTATCCCTATAATTATTATAAAGTAGTGCTGGTCATAAGACAGGTATATTTTTGTATAATACAAACAGACCCAGTGAGGATCTGCTTGTATTATATAAAAAACGAATTTTAAAAATACACGAAAAACTAAAATATAAATTTTACCAATCAAATTTTCTAAACGGGCCCCAACTATGAGTCATTCTGTTCTGTATTACATAACAGAATTCTAAGCTACTGGGCTTGTTTCTTTCTTTTTAGTTTTTATTGAAGTAAATTTTTTCATGTATTTTAAAAATTCGTTTTTATGCAGTCGGGTTTTTTGTTTTTCTTTAAATTATTTATTTATATATTATACTTTTTAGTTCTGATTCGTTGAGTTATAAGATGGTAAATTTCGCAATCAAGTTATTTCATTGAGGGAGTTAATATCGAGGGGAATATTAAATAACTTGCGGTGGTCTAAACTACTGATGATTAGTCCTTCTAGAGACCTAACTCTGCTCAAAGCTACATATGCTTTATTTTTTTACCAAAAAAATATTTGTTATTCATGCTTTTTCGTCGTTTTTATCATTCATCGTTTTATACTATAAATAAAAACTGAAATCAATAAGTACGAAAATTAAATCGCTATATATCCTAAACTATTATTTAAAATAAATAATGATAAAAGGAACCTAAAGATGATTTTAAAATACCTATTCACTGACACCCCACTTGACGATAAACTATTATCGTTTTTTATTCATTTTGACAATATGGCGTCTGGTTGTCGCTGTGGTGAAATTTGATTACTGTCATGTCTTTAGTGACACTCGCAAGATTAACGCTACGTAAAATCGGCCTACGCATTTGGTCTCTAGAACGCCACATAGAAACAAACATACATACATAGACTAATAAACACATTACCCTCCTTTGCGTCGCGCAGTCGAGTAAAAATATAGAAGTACATTTACACTTTGTTCTGTCTAACTTACTATATATAATATAATTATCCTTGCACAAAACAAACACATTACCGGTTAACTTAGTAATAATTTGAAACAAACCATAGACATAGACACTATTATATGAACAGTTGCAGTTTGTCTTATTAAATGAATGATGAATGTGAGCAGTCAGAACAGATGTGGGGTATAAGTTGCTTTTCATAATAAGAAAGACAAACAGTTTAATGTTATCACACATAGATTGTGCTGATACCCCTACTTGCTTGCTCGGCACCTGTACTTTGCTTAACTGTAGGTGTAGTTTTAATGTAGGCCTTCCTCTTAGGTCCCTGTGGCTTGAGAGGAACAGCACAAGTTTGAATTGAAAAGAACAAGGTGTATTTAATATTTTTATATTATCTGTCTGACAGACTAAATGAAATTTATTTTTTTACACAGTACCTATAGAATTACTGCTATGACTTTTTAAGTTTTATTAAATTATTTATGGAAAGTTATTTTTTTTTATATAGGACTATATTTTATTTTTTGATGAGACAAATAAGTTCAAAGACTTTATTCTCATAAAGAAGAACAATTGAAGGAGAACATCATAAACAAACTAATAAAATTATGATCTAGGAGTCAATGGCCCATTTAACAGCTTTGAATGCATTACAAGATAGATAAAAAGGAAATCAAATAAACAGTTGGTATTTTTAAAATATATGGTCGGATAGTTTGGATTTGAAACTGTTAAATGAACTTACATTCTTTATATTGGAATGCAGTTTGTTGTTAAATTGTGCGCCTTCAAATGTTATACTTTATTGGTTGAATTTATATGTATATGTGGTAAACACCTACTAACAAATCACATACTTAGAATTGCAAAAATCTTACAACATAGTAAATGTTAGTTTAGTATCCGAGAATTAAAAAAAAAAGAGACTTTAATTACTCACAGGGTAGTGTAGCTCATCTGCAGAATCATTTAACGCCCTGATAGCTCCATTGATGCGTAGAGAAAAACTGCGGCCTGACTCCCCTGGCAGTCGCCGTAATTGTGAAACTGGGTTCTGAATATTTCTTTCACTGGCTGAGCTATCTATAAAAAATATATGAACACTGCATACATGTCTTATGAGAATTAAAAATACTTATATTAATTTCTGGATACTTACATGCAGAACTACCATTTATTTCGCGCTTCTTCTTTCTTTTTGTACTCTTACTTTTCAAATTATGAGGGTTGAATAAATTCAGCAATGATTTGGGTACAGGTTGGTCATCTGGATCTTTTGGAGGTGTGTTAATTTTCCCTTTGATACTATAAAGGATAGTTTAGTTATTACTATAAGCTAACCGTACGTTGCTATAAGCGTACCCGAGATGGGAGATAAATTGCAGCTGTAAATAATTAAGCAATAAAAAAATTAAAAAGACAAATGACATTACAACCTTTGCCAACGTTTAGCCTGTTGTGCATGGGGATCTTTTACACCTCTATGTTTTTTTGCAGGTATTTTACGCCCCATTTTGATACGATAAAAATTTAAATATTTTTCTTAGATAATGATTCTCTGCAATATCAAATACTACGTTATAAGTACGTATTCTTCTTCTTCTATCTTAATGGCTATTTTGTGTTAACCACAATCCTGCCAATTTCACGTAGGAGACCACTACACGGTATAATAAATATAACCAATTTGGCTATTCAAAAAGATATTTGGAAGAAGCATAAATCACGTGTTCAGAAATAAACGAATAGTTCACTTTTACTTGACAGTTGACATTGACACACAACTTGAGAGTTTGTTTGACTGTGGTTGACGATTATCTATGGTTTGAAATTTGACTGGACTTGACCGACCGTTTGACCCAAAGTTATATTTGTACGATTTGTACTTCACACAAAGTCATCCCAGCTAGTCGCCATGTTAAAGAGGAAGTATTAAAAAAAAACGAAAGCACTAAAAAAGGCACCTCCTTTAGATGGCGACTCTAGCAAAAGTTGATTTTTGTAGGAAACGAATGAACCAGGGAAAGTCATTTCCATTCCTATTAACTAACATATTAAAAAACTGAAATTTGAAAAGTTGAAACTTAAATAAATACGAAAAAGTACAAATAGAATATGAGTTGTTTATTGAGTTTTGTAAACTAATTTACTTATGAACATGAAAGAAAACCGGAAAGATTGTCATGGAGAAATCAAGAACGTACCGTGGCGACATCTAGTTAGATTTCGGGTAATGGAAAACGCTAGACACCAAGATATCCGAAAAAAGTTTTTATTGTGTCTAAAGAGTAAATACTCATCAAATACAATAAATAGGTACTGAATTTGTGGTGATATAAACTCTTTGGTTTATACCAAAAAGTAGCTTTGACCAAAGGAAACTATGACTATTCTGTCATCGATTGTCATGTAAAGTTTTTGTTGAATAAAGCCTATTAATTTCTCAGTTTATTTAATAATCTATAAGGTTTATTCTACTACAATTTATTAAACAAAACTAAATGGATAAATATCTACGACCAGAAAGATTTGACGGAGATCCGTCCTCTAGTGAAGATCAGTCCCCTCAGTGGACACATTGGAAAACACATTTGAAAATTTTTTGACATCCATCTCTACCAAAAAAAAACCACTAGATAAAGAAACGAAATTTCAACTATTGACAAATCATTTACCTCCTACATTATTTGCATATCTACAAGATTCAACTGACTATGACTCGGCCATCTATCATCTCAAAACATTATTCTTGAAGCCATCTAACGAGGTTTACTCCCGATACAAATTAGCCAAACGTTCTCAACATAGTGGTGAGTCCGTAGATCAATATTTACAAGCCCTGAAACTACTTTCGAAAGATTGCAATTTCAAACAAGTATCTGCTGAGCAAAATAAAAATGAATTTATTAGAGATGCATTCATATCAGGTCTCTCATCGCCCTCAGTCCGTCAGAGACTTTTGGAGAATAGCACACTGACTTTGAATGATGCTTTTAAACAAGCACGTGCTCTAGAGATGGCACGTATACACAATAATGATTACCAGCAACCTAGTACTAGTTTCTCAGTCAACGCAACGTCAAACTTTAATCAAGAACAAGAACTTTGTTATTTTTGTGGAAATAAGAGACACGCACGACGCAACTGCCCTGCTTCCAGCTCAACATGTCTCAAATGCGGAAAAAGAGGACATTTTGCAAAAGTGTGCAAAGGTGGCGCAAAATTTCATCAGAAAGCGTTCGCCGCCCAAAATGAAACTCATAAAGCTGAGAAAGCAGGATGTCCGCAATAACTTTCGTGTATTATCGCTGCTACAACTGATCTAAGCAAAGCTATAGTATCGATCACGATTAATGGATTATTTACCACTAAAGCATTAATTGACACCGGGAGCACAAGCAGTTTCATTGATAAGCGTCTAGTAGAACAATACGAAATAGCAACTAAACGTTGCGTCCAGCACATCAGCATGGCAGTTTCGAATTTAAAAACAAGAATAGACGCGTCATGTTCAGTCAACATAGATTTACAAGGACATAAATTTGAAGTTAATCTGTTAATAATGGAAAATTTATGGACAGATGTAATAATTGGACATGATGTTCTTAAGAAATATAAGACACTAGAAATGTTTTTCGGTGGCTCCAAAGCTGCGTTAAAATTATGTGCCCTAACTTGCGCCAATATCGACCCAGTCTGCCTATTTCCAAATCTTTCGTCCGACTGCAAACCGATCGCAGTTAAGTCACGAAGATCCTCAGAGAGTGATATGATATTCATCAGCAATGAGATAAAGAAGCTACTCGCTGACGGAATAATAGAATCTAGTTCCTCTCCGTGGAGGGCACAAGTGCTAGTAACAAGTAATGAAAACCATAAAAGAAGGATGTGTGTAGATTATTCGCAGACTGTGAACAAGTTTACACAACTTGATGCTTATCCGCTGCCATGTATTGAAGATGTGGTAGCTAAAGTTGCGAAATACAGAGTTTATAGCAAAATTGATCTGAAAAGTGCTTACCATCAGATTCCAATTCTAAGCAAAGAAAAAGTGTATACTGCATTTGAGGCGGAAGGAAATTTATACCAGTTTTGCAGGATTCCGTTTGGTGTAACGAATGAAGTAGCTGCATTCCAGCGGGCGGTGAATAATATCATCAAAAAAGAGGGTTTACTAGGAGTATATGCATATTTAGACGATATTACCGTATGTGGAAAGGATCAAATGGATCACGATAGTAAATTGCAGCATTTCCTTGATGTAGCTAAACGATATAATCTTACACTTAATTTTGATAAAAGTCAGTTTTCTCTTGAAGAAATAAGTATTTTGGGCTATAATATATGCCGTGGAGTAATCAGACCCGACCCAGAACGTCTTCGTCCCCTATTGAATTTGCCACTGCCCTCAGATGCTGCATCTCTTCGCCGAGCACTGGGACTGTTCGCTCACTATTCCAAATGGTTGCCAAAGTTTTCTCATAAAATACAGCCTCTTATTTCTCAAGAATCGTTTCCGTTGGACTCAGAAGCTAAAAAGGCATTTGAAATATTAAAAAACGAAATAGCCTGGTCAGCAGTGAACGCAATTGACGACAAAATACCGTTTGTAGTCGAAACAGACGCTTCAGACTATGCTATCGTAGGTACATTGTCACAAGAAGGCAGACCTGTGGCATTTTTTTCGAGAAGTCTTCATACCAGTGAACGAAATCATTCGGCTATCGAGAAGGAAGCCGCGGCTATCGTAGAATGTCTTAGAAAATGGAGACAGTTCATTATTGGAAGATCTTTCAAACTAATAACTGATCAGAAGTCGATCTCATTCATGTTTGATCAAAAACATTCGTCAAAAATTAAGAACGATAAAATACAACGCTGGCACCTAGAACTGTCCGTCTATAATTTTAATATAGTTTATCGCCCTGGAAAAGAGAATGTAGCAGCTGATGCGTTATCACGGGTTAACACTGCGATTGTCGCTTCTGCAAGTCCTTCGAAAACTGTACTAAAGGAACTCCATAACACTTTATGCCACCCTGGAGTTACAAGAATGTTTCACTGGGTCAAGAGCAAAAATCTTGCCTACTCTTTAGATGAAATAAAAAATATCACTTCAAACTGTCCAATATGCTCGGAAGTAAAACCTCGTTTTCAACAAAAAGTTGGAACACTTATAAAAGCAACGGCTCCATTTGAAAGATTATCTATCGATTTTAAAGGTCCACTACCAACAGAAGGCTCTAGAACGAATCGATACATACTGACTATTGTTGATGAGTACTCCCGTTTTCCTTTCGCATATCCGTGTTCTGATTTAACCATAAACACAATAATTGATAAACTGACTGATCTGTTTTCTGTTTTCGGGATGCCGACTTATATTCACTCGGATCGAGGCACCTCATTCTTATCGAAAGAAATGAAAGACTTCTTACATCAAAAGGGTATTGCAAAGAGCTATACGACGCCATATAATCCTCAGGGCAATGGACAGACAGAGAGATATAACGGCATAATATGAAAAACTATCCAGTTGGCACTAAAAACTCATAATTTACCATCAACGAAATGGGAGGTGGTCTTAGCCCAGTCGTTACATTCGATTCGGTCTCTTCTATGCACAGTCATCAATTGCACTCCACACGAGAGAATGTTCTCACACCCGAGAAGGGCATCGAATGGCCAATCAATGCCTTCTTGGCTAACAGTTGAGAATAAGGCATTGATGCAAAAATTTGATAGAAATAGCAAATATGATTCATTAATCGAGGATGTGTTCGAAACAAATCCACAACACTCGCGTGTAAGGCTAAACGGAGGAAGAGAGCTTGTGATCTCGAATCGACATTTAGCTCCTGCTGGGACCTGCCCTAGCGACTCAGACAGGGAAAATCCTTCATGTGATGATGATGATGATGATGATAACTTTGTCGACGCCATATACCATAATAAGCAGCGTGATTCCCAAGAAAGGACTTTTCGAAACATCGAGCCTGACGATCTAAGAAGGTCTAAAAGAAATCGACGCTCGCCTGCATATTTAGCTGACTATGTCACTCAATAAAGAAGCGCAGGAGAATGTGGTGATATAAACTCTTTGGTTAATACCAAAAAGTAGCTTTAACCAAAGGAAACTATGACTATTCTGTCATCGATTGTCATGTAAAGTTTTTGTTGAATAAAGCCTATTAATTTCTCATTTTATTTAATAATCTATAAGGTTTATTCTACTACAAATTTATATCAGTGCTTACTGCTTTTCCCATCCGTAGCTACAATTGACATAATTTTTTGTACCTTTTTACTTTTTTAAATACATACTTCGTTTCGAATTCGGTTGTTTTCTGAAATCATACTCTTACTCAAAGAGTTAATTAAGCATATTTTATGGTACTTCTTGCTCAACGCTAGCGCAATACGGATCGGAGGGTATTAACGACTGCAAATGCAGAAGGACCAATAACTTAATGTGCGTTTCGAAACATGGAGTATCTTGAGTAATTTTTTTTACCATATACAATTAAATCTTATATATATATAAAAAATTTGTGTCACGATATTGATACTGATGAGACCGATTTCTATCAAATTTCACATGTAGCCGAATTTTGGTCTAACTTACTGGATAGGATAGTTATCATCTCAATTATTCGCTCATGTCGTGAATGTAAAAAAATAAAATGTTCTGATTAATTGTTTCTTAAGCAAGTGTTTATTTACTGTTTAGTTTTATGAAGTTC